CATGCTGGCTGGGGAATTCTGGGAATTGAAGTCCACATATCTTAAAGTTGCTAAGGTTGAAGAACATTGCCGTAGAGGTCCTCCAGTCTCAGCATTGATGGGAGAAAGGATAGACCAACTGACCACGTTTCAGTCAACAGCCTAAGTGGTTCTGTGTGGTCTCCCTACCTTTTCTCACAACAACCCTGGGCGTCACACCTAATGAATATTTTAATTAAGCTAGAATTTGAACCCAGCTCTCGGCAGTCTTAACAGTCTTCCCATTTAATCCCTATATCTAAACCCTTAAAAAAACAGATGAAATTTTGGTTCAGGGCTTGCTTCTTGAATGCCTGTTGGCTTACACAGTTCAAATTTTAGAAGCTTCGTTACGTAGATGAATGCACGCTCTGACCCCTCGCCATGGTCATTAACGAATGGGAGCCTGTGTAAAATCTCGTTTATTTCCTGATTTATTTAGCGTGCCTTTTAACAACTCTTTTTTATTTTTTAACAGTTCTGGAGAGTGGAACGTGGTGGACCCAGCTGTCGGGCAGCAACTGAGAGTCAAAATGGAGGATGGGGAATTTTGGTAGGCCTGTCTTACCTGAGTCACAGCAGAAGGAAGCCCTTTTATTTCAATTAGGAGGGTTAATGACACCAGGGCTGAGGTGTTTGGCCTTGGGTGGTGGGTGGGGAAGTTCTACGTTTCTTGAAAAAAATAAAATAGATGCAGGAAGAATCTGAGAAAAAAATCCTGAGTTTTGTGGGGTTTTTTGCCATTTTTATGCGTCACTCTCAGGGGAAGCTCTCAAGTTCCACCTCCCCCCGACAAAAATCTGGAGGCTACAGGCTCTCCTCTCTGGCTGTAAGTTTGCACGCTTCAAAACACCGCTCTGAATTTGCTTCTCGTCTTCCCCTGTAGGATGTCCTTCCAAGACTTCCTCCGTGAGTTCTCTCGCCTTGAGATCTGCAACCTTACGCCAGATGCCCTGAAGTCCCGCAGATTCCGAAAATGGAACACCACGCTGTACGATGGCACTTGGCGACGAGGGAGCACGGCTGGTGGCTGTAGAAATTACCCAGGTAGCTCCTGTTGGAGAGGATGGGGTTCTTAAAAAAGAAGACTTCTGTGGAACCCTTCATCCTGGGAGAGCAGCCCACGTCCCTTTGCAGCCCTACAAAAATCATGCTGCTGAAATGCATGGCAAAGTACCCAGGTTTGAGGGGCCTGTGCATGTTGGAAATAGGGGTGTGAAGCTATTGGGTTCACACCCTTTTTGCATTACAGGTAGTCCTTGACTTACGTCCATTCATTCAGCGACCGTTCAAAGGTACGGCGGCACTGAAAAAATGGACTTACGACTGGTCCTCAAAGTTGCGGCCCTCACAGCATCCCCCCCATTCACGCGATTTGGGCACTTGGCAACCAGCTTGCACTTACAACGGTTGCTGTGTCCTGCAGTCACGTGATCACCATTTGCAACCTTCCCTGCCAGCTTCCCACTCACAAAGTCAGTGGGGAAGCCAGCAGGAGGTCGCAAGTCACTCCTGTAAGTTGCTCCCACTCCCACCACTTTTTCTCCCAAGGAACCCTTAAATGGCAAGGTGAGTATGGGCCCCTCACACTTGCACTGGGTCGCAGCACCCCCTCACCTGCCTGCACCGTGCCACAGCACCCACCCCCTGCCTGCCCACACTCTATAACACCTGCTTGCTGGTCTGCTTGCGAGCCACCTAAGGAAAGGCTTGCTGCTGACTTCCCCATTGACTTTGCTTGTCGGAAGCCAGCAGGAAGTCACAAGTCGCGGTCACATGAGGTCCTCACTTAATAACCCTTGTTCCTTGTTTAACGATGTCAATGGGGACTGCCAGGATTGCCATCGCTAAGTGATGCGGTCACGTGACGTTGCGCTTTATGACCCCATTGCTTAGCGACGGAAATTCCAGTCCCAATTGCCGTCGTAACTGAGGGACTACCTATAAATGTAATGAAAAGGGTGGAAAATGTTAGCCACAGCGTGTAAGCCTGGCTGCTGTTTTCCCTTGCAAATTTCAGAGGTCAGGTAAGTAAAGGATGGTTTTAATAAGGACTGTTCCACTTGCAGAAATAAAGACTTTGCCCCCACTATCCTTGGGCAAACCAGCCCACCCCGCTGTGTTTAGAAGGAGGCAGCAGGTGAGGCTGGCGGTCTTGGCACTTTCTTCCCAATCCAGTTTCAACTCCCTTGTTTGAACGAGGGGATTAACCAAGATAACCAGAAAGAAAACAGGCACTTCCAAGATTAAGGGATCCTGGCAGATGTCTGGCAATATCCGTCTTTTCTGCTGGCCTTCTTCCATCTTTTTCTCACTCTGATCTCCTCCCCCAGCCACCTTCTGGATTAACCCGCAGTTTAAAATTCGCCTTGATGAGGTTGATCACGAGGGTGAAGACGGGCGAAGAGAGCCGGGGTGCAGCTTCGTTTTGGCCCTGATGCAGAAACACCGTCGCCGAGAGAGGCGGTTCGGCAAGGACATGGAGACCATCGGCTTTGCCGTCTACGAGGTAGCACCTGAGCAGGCTTTCCCCCTCCCAGGATGCCCTTTGGGTTGGGATGATTTGTCTTTGGAAATGCTCTGATTCTTTTTTTATGTTTTCTCCCAGGTGCCCCCAGAGGTACGTTTGCCAAAGCCAGTTCGGCAGTTCGGTGATGATCATGGCAGTAAAGATTTTCCAGGACTCCAGGCCAAGAGGTCTTTTCCCCAGCTTAGAGATTGTCCCGAACAAATCTGGGATTCTGAGATTCCAGGACTCTGCTTTAAGTAAAGAGCAGTGGCAGAGTTAGACCTAGTTCAGTCTTTGCTATATTGGATATAGGTAGACTCCTGCCCTCCAAATAATGTTGGGCTGTGGTCTGTGGCTTAAGAAAAGAACTACAGGTAGTCCTCGCTTAGCGACCATTCATTTAGCAACCGTCTGAAGTTACAACGGCACTGAAAAAAGTTACAACTGGTCCTCGCATTTACAACCATCACAGCATCCCCGCAGTCATGTGATCTCAATCCAGGCGCTTGGCAACCAGCTCACACTTATGGTTGCAGCGTCCTGGGGTCACATGATCTCCATTTGTGGCCTTCCCAGCTGGCTTCCAACAAGCAAATCAATGGGGAACCGTGTGAGTTGCTTAACCACTGCATGATTCGCTTAACGACTGCAGTGATTTGCTTAACCACTACCATAGACAAGGTCATAAAATTGGGTGTGGTCATGTGATACTTTGCTTAACAACCGCCCTGCTTAACGATGAATTTTCTGGTCCCTATTGTCATTAAGTGAGGACTACCTGTAAGATGCTAGTCCTCATGGTTCTGAATAAAGACTGGATTTAGGAATGTCCAGTCAGATCCATCTCATTCAGCCCCCTCTGCTGGGTGAAAGCACCTAGTCGTTCAAGGCAAGTCTTGAATTCTGGACCGTTTTCTTCTCCTGGGGGATCTCGTTGGGAGGGAAGCGCTGGGCAAATGCAATTTTTCAGTCTTGATCCCCTTTTTTCTTGGCAGTGCAAGGGGCAGCCTTCGGTCCACCTGAAGCGCGACTTCTTTCTCTCCAATTCTTCCCGGGCCCGGTCGGAGCAGTTCATCAACCTGCGTGAAGTCAGTACTCGTTTCCGGCTGCCCCCAGGAGAATATATCGTGGTCCCTTCGACTTTTGAACCCAACAAGGAAGGGGACTTTGTACTCCGAGTCTTCTCAGAGAACAAAGCCGGGACAGTGTAAGTGATCCTTTCCCAGGGCTTTCTCAGGGGTGGGGTTTGCCTGTGTTACATCAAACTGTGGTTGGTTTAAATCGTGCTTTCTTGGGCAAACCATAACGGCTTGGCTTATAAAGTTTCCTTAGCTATAAGTCAACCCTTAATGTCAGTGTTTCTCAACCTTGGCAGCTTTCAGACGGGTGGACTTCAGCTCCCAGAAGTCCACCCATTCCCATTCCCCTTGCTGGCTGGGGAATTCTGGGAGTTGAAGTCCACCCATCTGAAAGTTGCCACGGTTGAGAAACTCTGCTTAATGTTTTAAAAATTAATTATTTTAATTTTTAAATATGGGTATTTTTTGAAAGCGTGAGAGATGCAGTGGGCAAAACATTGGTGCACAGACTGTAGGGTCACATCATGTAGCTTGGATTCCTAAGGTGGGGTTCTTGGCTTGGGGTGTTCTTTTGTTTTACCAGGATTAACCCTGTTTTGTGGCTTTCCCTAAAGTTTGCTTGTGTTTTTCCCATCTCAAAACGGGACAGTAAGCCATGCCCTCTGTGTTTTAGCCCTTGAGGCTGCCAAGAAAGAGTGGGAAAGCCTCACTCCCTCACTCTGGCTGGGTTAAACCATGATTGAAGCAAATCCTGGCTTAGCATTCTGCACTAAGTCAGAGCCCAACAAAGTCCTATTATTCACACAAGGGCAAAGAGCTCAGCTTTTCAGAATCAGAGATGGAAATACGTACTTTGTGCTGAAGAGATAGGCTAAAGTTAGAAACCACTGAAACCAGGGTGGGGGACAGTGAAGGCAGGATGTTCTCTGACTTGAACCCTTTGTGCATTTTTTGAAGAATTCTAATGCAGCTGAAACTCAAAAAGGAAATTTCACAAGGGGGTCAAACTCTAGCTGGATATATGAGTAGTCCTTGCTTAACGACCACAATAGGGACTGGCAAATTTGTCGTTAAATGGGGCAGTTGTTAAGCAAAGCATCACATGACCGCTCCCAATTTCACAACCCTTTTTGCAGCGGTCGTTAAGCAAATCACCATGGTTATTAAGTGAAAAACATGGTCATTAAGCAATTCACATGGTTCCCCATTGACTTTGCTTGCCAGAAGTCAGCTGGGAAGGTCGCAAATGGCGATCATGTGATCCCGGGACACTGCAACTGTTGTTAAGTGTGAGCTGGTTGCCAAGCACCTGGATCATGATCACATGACTACGGGGGCACTGTGATGGCCATAAGCACGAGGACCATAAGCCACTTTTTTCAGTGCTGTGGTAACTTTGGATGGTTGCTAAACAAATGGTTGTTAAGCAAGGACTACCTGTAGAGGTTTCTTTTTTCTGCCAAGGTGGCTCAAGAAACGATGGTTAAAATAAACTGTGATGTGTAATAATGTTCTTCAGTTTTTAACTTTCCCTGTTCCTTTTCATTGCCTGTTCTGTAGCTTGTGCTGTGTTTTTCCAGGGGACTATTTTTGAGTATAATTTTTTCTTTGTTTTGATCCTTCTGCAGGGAGATGGATGATCAGATCCAAGCCAAACTTCCAGATGAGGTAGAAGCTTCCAGTGACAAATCTCTCTCCCCATTTTTGGGGGTTCAGGAGCAGAAATGTAGATTTCCCTTCTCCATTTGTAGTTGAGAGGAAAAATATATGTCTTCCTTCATCAGGGAGACATACCTTCAAAACTATCTGCTTAAAACTAGAGTTAAGCTAGTTAATAAAATTTCTCTGGAGTCCAGCTCAGCTGCTGGTGACCTAAATAGATAGTTGGTGACAATCCAGAGAGGGGGGCCTCCTTTTTGGGGAATGATTTGGGGGTTTCTCAATCTAGTTTACAGCTCTGGACTTTCCTAGAAGGTGAAGCGAAAAGGTGTTCTTGTTCGAGTCTTATTATCCCCATGCAAGAAACTACCATTTTGGCCAAAAAGGCAATGTTGTTCATCTGCAATTTGTTGTGGATGTAGATTTGCAAATGTATTTATTTGCACACTTTATTTTATTTATTGATGGTGTTTGTTTATAAGGTGGCTCAACGCTGGGTGGCTTCCATTAATCCAAAAACAGGATAAACCTTTGCAGTTAACGTCAGTACACAACGTTTAATGGGCAGTCAGGAATGCACGATCATTAACCTCCGCCAACAGGAACTGCAATCATTCTGACCCCAGGAAAAGACCCGAGTTTTAAGTGCCTTTCTAAAGATCAAGGGGGTTGGAGACAATTGTATGTTGGGGGGATCATTCCAGAGGGATGGCACCCTATTAGAAGGTGTGGGACAGGCAGATATCATAAAGGTGAAGTAATCCTGCAAATAGCCTGGCTAGGTACCATCTAGGGCTGAATAATTCCCGGCTTGTTTTAGCCACGGCTCCTGATTTGTTTTTTCTGCTCTGTCTGTCCAAAACAACCGCTTGGCGAATGAAGCTGCCAGGCGGAGTCTGTGAGCATTCAGCAAATGGTGATTAAACCAAATTGTGGTTTAGAATCCTGTGCGAAAGCAACTCTGTGGAATCTGGAGGTTCGGCCCTCCTTTGCTGATACCATCTTCTTTTTCCTGCTTCCCTAGCAAGTGCTTTCGGAAGGTGAGATCGATGAAGGCTTTAAGCAGCTGTTTAAGCAGTTGGCAGGGTCGGTGAGTACGCCAAGAGGAGAGCGAGGCACAAATAGAAAATAAAAATTGAGCTGGTAGTAAAAGGAGAGAGAAGGAGGTGGGGGAACCTTCCCACTGATCATTTTGCCTCTGTTCGGATTTGCGCGTTGTTTAATCGTCTAGTTCAAGCGAGAGAAATTCTAACGTCATGGTAAGTGAAAGAGGCTTCTGTTTTTCTGCCTCATGCTCAGGATGCTTTAGAATTTCATTTGAATTTCCTTGGCTGTTTTTGAGCATATGCCTGATTGGAGAGGATGCCATTTTTGTTTTATTTTTTTCTTTCGTCTTTGAGCCTGTCTCCTCCTAAGATGCCTTGTTCTCTCAGAGGCCAGCCGGAAAAACCAGAGAGGAAATAAATTTCTGCCAGCATAAAAGCATTACTTGCTCCTACAGTGAAGGGCCAGAGTAATGAATTACAAGTGTAGTTTTAATTCTTTTCCATTTACTGTAATCTTTGAATATGTTCCCCACCTTGGAGCATGCTTTTAATGATAGTTTTACAAAGCAATATACCAGTGATGTGTTTAGATGCAAATTAATGAATTCAGCGTTATAAATAGTAGGGGGGAAAAAAGGGCTGGCTGACGGGAGCTGTTTCATTTCAAAGATATAAATCAGGCTGATGACCAGTTTGAACAGTTAAGACTCAGGCTTTCAAATAATGTTTTTCAAACATCACACATGATAAGGATAATCTAATTTGTTTCTCCTTTCAGGATATGGAGATTAGTGCAAGAGAACTGCAAACCATCCTCAACAGGATAATTGGAAAACGTAAGTGCCAAGATAAATCCCCACTCTATCGCTGGCCTTCCTTTTTTTACAAACAATGCAGGGACAAAGGAGGAAAACATCTGCTCTGCTGCAAATCAAGGAACTTTGGGAGGGGGAGAAGGCTGCTCTTAGCCCAACCCACCTCACAGGGTTGTTGTGGGCAAAATAGGAGGCCAGGAGTATTAGGTACATTTTCCACCTGGAGTTGAACAATATATATAAAAAAGGCAGGATAAAATCGTCGTCATCATCTTTCCTCTCTTTATTGTAAATTGCAGATAAAGACCTGCGCACGAAAGGATTCAGCTTGGAGTCCTGCCGAAGTATGGTGAATCTCATGGATGTATCTTTTTTCTATCAGCGTGAGAAAGGGAGGCCTGTTTGACGTTTCTTTAAATTTTTTCCCCCTGGCAAAAAAAGTCTTCTGTCTTTCTATGTCCTCCTCGGGCGGCTTGAGAATTCCTTTCAGATTTCTCTGAAAACTCTTCTTGAACGTAGACATTATTTTATTTTATTTATTTATTTATTAAACGTGTCCCCGCCCATCTCCCCCCCAGTGGGGGACTCTGGGCGGCTCACAACATGTTAAAACAATAAATAAATATACAATTAAAATTTATAACAAGACACATTTACAAAAATGAAAGGAAAAAAATTCATGATCCCTGAAAGATGGTGGAATATGCCCTTCCCGAGTTATTTTCTCTTCTCTGTCTTGCGGTGGTTCTGCAGTCCTCCTGGCTGTTCTCCCATCACTGTCTGAAAACACTCCTGAGAGTGGGAATTAGGAGAAGTCAGCGTGGTTGCAAACAACTGGAGAGAGAGAATTGTGCACGGATAGGATATTCACACACATACTGTACCGCTTGGCCTCACTATTACTAAGCGTAAGAACCCCACTGGGGATTTGTTTAATCTTTTCCAAGAAATTCAGGGGAAAAAATCTGTTTCATCAATTGAACGAGAGCTAGCATAGGAGAATTTATCAGGCCCAGCACATTTTGTATCTATTTCCATGACGGCAGAACAAACGGGGCAGTACGTTGTTCTCCGCAGTCTTTCCCTCCAAGCACGAATTCTGCCAATCGTTGGCTACCTAACCTTGGTTTTTAGGATCTTCAGTGAGTTCTAAACCATCTTCAAACCATGAATGGAGGCTCCTTTCTCTGATAAGAACAGATGCTACCTTGATTCAGCTGAAAGGCCACAAAGGGATTTTTTTCTGTGGGTTTGTAAGTGAATGGTTGGAAAGGGAGGGGTGAATTTTCTCAGACGTGTCTCCTTAACGGCTCCCTCCTCCATCAGAGAGATGGAAATGGGAAACTCGGTTTGGTGGAGTTCAATGTCCTTTGGACTAAGATTAAAAACTATCTGGTAAGTTTCCATCCATCCAGTTTGGGTTAAAAGAGCAAACGGGACCATCTTAACCATGTTTGCATTTAATATGCTCCTAAAATAATATGCCTCTCAGAATATGGCTTTTTCAGCAAAACATTTGTATTCAGTATCAGCACTTTTGTTTACAGGATTTGTTTTCTCTTATGTCATCAACAATGGATTTTTCACATGTAACAATAAGCCACAATTCTTGGGCTCTCCTGATTTATTCTGGGCAAAGTAGCATTCTAGCGTGTGAAGCCGCTCACACAAATGAGTGAAATAACACAAAGTGTATTCGGATGTCTGAATTGAGGATTCTCATTTGTTGCTTCCAAACAAGCCGAAATTTTATCTTGGCGAATGGAGTCTGGCTAGTTTGGGAGCAACAGATCAAGATCCGAAGGATGGACGTAATCAAAGTAGGTCATTTCTGCTTCTCACTTGAGAAGGAGGAACCAAATAGTGTGGAATCAAGCTTACAAACATGCGGATTGTTCACCAGCAATCTTGTCATTCTCTTAGTTGTAAATACTTGCAAAACTCATGGGAAGATGGACAGTAGCAACCTGGGTGGGCAATTGTGGATGTTTCTATGATCTGGAGGGAGAGAACTAAATTCCTTGGTTCAATAAATCAGACAGTCTTACTGACCAAGGGATCTGAAGAGCCCAAACAATCAGCCTTTGAAATTTGCCATTGAGTTTTGATTCTGAAAAGGGAACACTGATGTCCAGCTTCAGGATCCAAGCTTTGAATCTTGTTTCAGACCTTCACTGGATTCCCTAATGGGGCTGTGGTCTAGAGAAGGGGACTAGTTAAGACTAGGCTCCCTTCTCTTTTGTAATTTCCTAGTTTGTTCCAAGCTCTCTCTAGCAGTTGGAACTGGGAATCACTTGAGGTTGCTGCACTTAATTTCCCCCATCAAGAAAGGCTGACATTGGCAAAGTGGAACGCACTGGTTCTTAACTCAGACATAGCTGTTATGTAAATATGGAGTAGGTGTCTTGCATGCCCAGAGCCAGGCCAACAACAGCCAAATGTTTGTTGACTCAGAAGGGTGGGAGGAAGAGACTTAGGATTTAAGCTATGGGGCTGACAACGATTTTGGATTTGATTCTTGTAGGTGGGTTTTCAGCATATATATGACCTCTTTCTTCTCTGTAACAAACCCCCTTATTTCTGTTGAGTTTCTGGAAAATTAAGATTTATTGCTTTGCCTGGTGTGATGTCTCTCATCTTCCTATCGTACATGCTTTGATATCAGTCACCAGCTTTGCTGTTCTTCTGGCTGGACGTCCCGGCTCTCTCATTTTTCTTCCCTTTTAAAACTTTTCAGGCAATCTTCAGGAAATTTGATTTGGACAAATCAGGAAGTATGAGTGCCTATGAAATGAGAATGGCTCTGGAGTCTGCAGGTAACATGCCCGTTTCTTGGAACATTTGGCTTTTTTGTTCCATTTCTTGGCTGCCTGTCCAGCAGGCTAGTCCTCAAGGTGTGATAAAAACCAGTGATAATGAAAGCCCTGCCCAGTTTTCAACTGGAAGACATTTAATTTGATTTGATTTGATTTGATTTAATCCATTGCATTTATATCCCATCTCTTTTGTGAGAGCTCCAGAAAACTCCACAGGTGTCTCCCCTAATTTTATCCCAACAATTACAGTCCTGTGATGTTGGTTGTTACGAGAAAGTCTGTCTGGCCCCAGATCACCTAATCGAGTGGGGACTTGAACTGGGCCTCCCCACTGTGTTTCTGAACCTTGACCACTTTAAGAGGTGAGGACTTCAACTCCCAGGCTGGCTGGGGAATTCTGGGAGTTGAAGTCCACACCTCTTAAAGTGGCTAAGGTTGAGAAACACTGTCTTAACTGCTATATCCTGCTGGTGCCTGATTGGAAAAAAATGCACCTTGCACTCCGCGCATGCCTTGATTTTTCTTTTTATTTCTCTTTGTCCATAGCTTTTCCCTAAATGGGAAATTAACATTGCTCTTTGCATCACCGCAGGTTTCAAGCTGAACAAGAGACTCTACGAGTTGATTATCACCCGCTACGCGGAGCCCGACCTGGCCCTTGACTTTGACAACTTTGTCTGCTGTTTAGTGCGGCTCGAAACTATGTTCCGTGAGTTCTCCTCCTCCTCCTCCTCCTCCTGGTGTTTGGGGAGGGCAGGGCACGGCTGGATGGTCCGAAGATCCCGTATTAAGCCAGCTTATTGTATTCCCAGAAGCCTCCCAGTTTTCTGTTATTCCAGGATTCCAGCCTGTTTTGCTCAGCAACTGAAGAAGCTGGGATGAAGCCAGAGATCTGACTTGGGTCCTCCTGCTTTTTTTCTTTAAATACGTTGTGATGGGTTGAAACTAGTGAGGCAGGATTCTCTGATCCTCACCCCAGAAAAAGCAGTTTTCCAAACAAGGCGTCCCAAGGTTCGAAGCTGGGTTTTTGCAATTGCAAAGACCCAGCCTTTGAACCTTGGGAGCCCGTCTTTAAATAGGGCAGGATTCCTGGACCTGGAGCTGGAAACGGACTCGCGCGTATGGCTTCCCCATCCTCTGCAGTAAACCTGCCAATCTAACCTCGTTGAGTCTGCTTTGGAGCAGGGAAAGAGTCCAGGGATGAACCCTTGCAGAAATCAATAACCATCTAGCCATCGATTTAATCCTCCCCCTCTTCCCTTCCTAGGATTTTTCCAAGCCCTGGACACGGACAAGGACGGGATCGTCACGTTCGATTTGATTAAGGTAATTCCATCAGGGCATCCTGCCAGGTTGGAGTGCAAGGCCTGTGATTCTCCAGCTCTCCTGGGAAATCCAGGAATTCTCCCAGCGGTTTTGGAGGTCTGCCCCGTTGGGGGAAGGCCAGCTTCGGCCTTCTGGTGCCAGAGACAAAATTGAAAACAGTCCTGGGGGAAAGTTAATTTGAGGGCTTCTTCAAATTTCATGGACTTCTTCATTTCATAGGAAGTGTTAATAAATTAGAATCACTGCCTGCCCCCTGCCATTCTTCCATCCTGTGCAAAATTGAGGCTAGCTTCTCCTAGAAGCAGATAACTCTGTTTAGTGCAAAGAGAGTAGATTTGGGGGGAATACACACTCACACTTGCACGTACCTTGCAGCCTTGGAGGACATTTGCAGGCAGGGCACACTTGCTTCTTGTTTGTTCCTCCCTTCCTACCCTCTGTCACCTCTGCTAAGATATTAATAGCCTTTCAGCTTCTTTCCCTTGACAGCTGAGCTTTCATCCTTGAAGTGCTTCAGCTATTGTTTGTTTTCCTCTTCCCTCCTCAGCCCTTTTCCTCACGTGTTGTGTCTCTTCATTTGTAATCCCAAAGGCTTGGATATTTATAACCTCTTTGAGGAACCTTTTGGGCCAAAGAGTGAAGCCCAGAATGTTCTAAAGGACCGTTCTGGAAAGGAGGAACCGTCTTTATCTTTTCTGGCGTAGAACAAACACTGATGGTAAAAAATTGCGTTTGTTTCTCTGTGTCTTCTCCATAGTGGATACAACTGACCATGTTTGCCTGAAAAAGATACGGAGCACATCCCATGCAATTCTTTGGACTTTCCTTCTCCCTGGACATTTTGTTTTGAGGGTTGAGGACATTCTTACCTGCAAGTGCCTCATGTTCTGCTTTTCGCCGCTTCCGTTCCAAAATAGAGGAAACACACGTGCAAGGTTGCAGCTTGACATCGCTCTACTTCCTACACGGGCTCCTGCCAGACCTGGGAACCTTTTATGACTCCAGCTTCATTTCAGACTTGCGTCTCGAATAACCCGCGGCGCGATGCTGCTGAGGAATCACGCTGCGCTCTGCCAAAGACACAAAGCGGCCTTGCCACTCCACTAACATCCTGATCCACTGTAACATGGAGTTTATGTTAACGTTCCCCGGGCTAACAACGTCTTTTGGATCACTTCTGGATTACCCCTGCCTTGGCAGGGTACAAATGCCTGGGAAACTCTGTCTTTGGGGAGCCGGGATTCGGCCTTTCTGAATCCGTGTTGTGGATCTGTCGGCTTGAGGGGAATACTTTAAAGCATGCTGCAGTGTGTCAAAGGTGCATTTGAAGCGAGGACAGAAACTTACTGTGTGGTATATACATTTGAAGCAAACCGCTAATTCCACATTTTTGAGCCAATACATGAAACAGAGCTTACTCTCCCTTCAGAATTCGCACTTCTGGAAATCTTGCCACGCAGTTTGATGAGAATATACAGGTAGTCCTCAGTTAACGACGGCAACTGGGACCAAAATTTCTGTCGCTAAGCATGCGGTCATACAGTGCAATGTCACGTGACCACGATGCTTAGCGACAGCAGTTCCGGCACTTCCGGTAGCTGTCATTAAGCGAATCCTGTGACATCATGTGGTTGCCATTTGCGACCTCCTGCCAGCTTCCCCATTGACTTTGCTTGTTGGAAGCTGGCAGTGAAGGTCACAAATGGTGATCCCATGACTGTCGGGATGCTGCAATGGCCAGAACTTCAAGGACTGGTTGTAAGTACCGTTCATTCAGCACCGTCGTAAGTTCGAACAGTCGCTGAACGAGTGGTCATAACCCGAGGACCACCTGTATATTTTTCAGCATATTAGGAAAGGGCTTATGCAAAAGATGCATGTATTTCTAAAAATAGTCCACAAATTGAATTCTGTTAGTTGTCTCCGGTTTGCAGAAACTGGATACATCATTGCAGACAAAAATGGGTATAATAAATCTTGCAGCTGATGTTAAATGATGGGGAATCAAGCATCTTTCTCGATTTATAGCTGAGCACTTCTTTCTGTGGGTTGTGTTTTTTTTTTTTAAAATACAGATTTCTGTTACGGGCCACCCCTTCCCCTTTGGTGCCATCATTTTGAGGGGTGCTAACCACCGGGAATTATACTCCTCCTTCGTGCCCCAGTGGCGCAAGCAATATTTAACGCCTTTTCTTACGCACCTGTGTGTTTATATATAAATATATATATATATATAAATAAAAATACAAAAAAATTGTTTTCCTGGAAGCTTCTGTAAGCATTCCAGTGCCTAATCAACCTCCCTTCCAGGCCCACGTGGGAGACTTTGCTTCCTGCAGAGGTCAGTTTGGGAATTCTGGTGCCTAAAGACTGCAGCTGTTATACACGCCTTGCCCGTCTCACGCGCTTGCTGCCAAATATTTTTAAGGAGAGCCGAGTTGAGCGAAACCCCCATCCAGGATTGCCAGATGCATCCCCTTCTGGGAGAGCTTTCAAGGCCACCGAGTCACTCTGTGTCGAGATGTCCTGTGTCGGGGACCTGATTTTATGCTCTCGTAACGCAACCGGGTACTATCATTTACGTCCTTCTGCGTGTTTTTTGTATTGTAGAAAACGGATTTTAGTTCCGTGCCAAAATAAAACAAACTGTGGTATGCTTAACGCCAGTAACTGGGGTCGTGCTTTGTCTTGTTGTGATTGTCGCCGTCCTTGCCACCAAGAACTGTTGGTTGCATCTCAGAAAAGGCAGGTTTCTTGTAGAATTGTCAATTTGGATAGAAATCTGGAAGGTTTTGTCTCTCTGCTCAGGGCAGGAGGTAACTTCTGGGTTGTTGGGAATGCTCTTGTTCCAGGAAATTGGTGGTTCAGATGTTATAAATGGAAGACAAACTGTTTATGTGATTGATTTATATCTCACTTTATTTCGTACAACTCCAAGCGGCATAGGTAATGCTCCCGCCTCCTCTTTTCCCCACAACAACAACCCTGTGAGGTGGGCCGGACTGAGAGAGAGAGCACAGTTGGCCCAAAGTCACCCCACCAGCTTCCGTGCCCAAGGGAGGACTAGAACTCGCGGTCCCCCCCGTCTAGTCCGGCACCTTCCCCACAACACCCAACTGTCTCTTAATACACATAAATAGAATCTGCGCTGTTTGGTTTATCTTGTGTTTTTTCCTACCCTTTTCGCATAAATAAGGGCAACTTCCAAGAAGCTTGCCCTTGACCTTGCCTGTTACCCCGCATTTTTATTTTTACGTTTATGGTGGAAATCCAAAATGTTCACACGGGGCGTCGCTGAAGTTCCTTTTTTTCTGCTCCCCCGTCTTAATTTTTTTCCTGTTTGAGAGGGGTTGGCTCGAAGCAAGATTCCCCATCGTTTCCCACGATGGCTGCTTGCTTTAAATCACGCCATTGATTTGCATTCACCGCGGGAGCCCTGAGCCCCCTGTAATTTTCTTTTAATTAGTGGTTTCCATTCTAGTAAGAGCCACCCAATGAAAGGTTTTCCCACGGTCGCTCGGCACCTGCTGCTTTCCTCGTTCTCTGCAATCGGTGCGACTGGAGGGTGGAAAAGAGCAGGACCTTGGCACAAATCCCAGCGGAGGAGCCCCCCAAAAAGGAGGAAGATGGGTGCAGTTCCCCAAGGTGGCGAGAAATCAGAACTTAAGGCAAACAATTGGAGTCATCCTCGCTTGCTGCCATTTTTACATCCCAGTTGATTTTTTTAAAAAGTTACCTATTGCAGATGTGGGGGTCTTTCTTTTTCTCCGAGGGCTGCAATTTTAATTTTGTTATTTTGCGGTTTTGGCCTCCCTGGTCACCCTGGGTGGCTCATGACAGCCAGCCGCTAAACTAGGCAGAAGCAAAGGTTTCATTCTTTGGGGAATTGGAGGGGGGGCAGCTTTACACCAGACCATGCCCAGCCTATGGATTTTACTGCTTCGATTGTTTAAAAAGTAGTTTAAAAGCTGTACCACTCTAATCCACCATGTTGTTGCCAAAATTCAGCATGGGGGGGGGCGTCAGAGGTTGTAAAAAGGGCTGAGCAGGGATACGATTAAATGTGATTAATTCTGGGACGAATTATGGCAGACATCCTCAATTCTGGATACGTTGGACTATATATCTCCCATCTTTGCTGATCTTCAAATCACATCTAGTTTCTTTTCCCCTGCCTGTCCTGTTTTTACTTGACAAATCTGAGTTTCTGAAAAGGAAAATGGGCAGTCCTATCTGAGAAGGATCTCTTCCGTGTCCACTACCAGCAGTAATCAGAAGCTAAGTGGTCAGAAATTCTTTAATGGGGTTGGGGAACGAGCTGATCGCTTTTGCTATGCACAAGGAAACCCTTCTTCTGACACCGGAGACCCTACTTGCCTTCAAACACGAGGTAGAAGGAAATGTGGATGGTCTTGGCCTATTTGTGCCAATATTGTATTTTTAGCCCATTTTATTTATCCCACTGTGTCCTTTACAACTGTTGTGGCATTTACAAAACTCAGGTCAGTGCCCATACTAAATCTTTCCAAACTTTCTGCCAAATTGTAATGTTTAAGATCACCACAGTGGAAAAGTATTAAGTACAGGTAGTCCTCGTTTAACAACTGCCTTGTTTAGCGACTGTTTGACATTACGACAGTGGGGAAGAAGTACCTTTGCGACCAATCCTCTTATTTACGACCTTCGCAGGTCTGTAAAGCAAAGGACAGCTGAAGGAAGATCATAAGCATAGTCACAGTTTCACTTAGTGACTGCTTTGCTTAACAAATTGCTGGTCCCAACTGGGGTTGCTAAATGAGGACTACCTATATACAATGCAATCATTGTTGCCATAGTTATAAACATAAATGCAATTAAACTGAGATGTAACTTAAAGTCGATGAAATTGGGTTCTTTGCATTTTAGAGAACAACCAGCTTGACGGTTCATTTCGAAGCTCGCTGCAAACCCGTATCTGCAAAAACACACAGCTGCTGCAAACATTATCTCATGCTCCAGGCTATGGTATCTCACAGCTGCTTCTCCATCTGTCTTCCTCCTTTGGCATGTCCTTGCCATCTTTGGAAACAGGCCTCAGAGGCGGAACCTTCTGCCCCGTTGAGAATGTCTCATGAACTCAACTGAGAAAGCCAAGCTCCCTGGTGGCCCTCCAAGCAGCGGGCTTCAGAAACTGGTGGCTAAGTTGGGTGACACCATGGAGAAGGAGAGCCCATTGCTTCGTACAGTCCTTCTCATGATCTTCTGCATCCCAGGGATCTTGACTGGCACAGGTAAGGGGTGGGGGAAACGGGGTCCCCTTTTGTAAGTCTTTATTCCATGGTGGAACCTTCACCTTCAATGGATCCAGCTTCAATACACCGTGGATCCATGCGAGGGGCGCATGAAGCTAACCCCTTGATGGTCTTCTCTCCCTGCTTGCTTCCTCAGTTTTGGAAGGAAAGGTCTTCGTGTTCCCCAAGGCTTCTAGTGACTCCTACGTTCTCCTGAAGCCCAACTTGCAACAAGAGCTCCAGCGCTTCACCGTCTCTCTCCAATTCTACACCGACTTGACCCGCACCTTCGTCCTCTTCTCGGCTGCTTCCCCGCAACACGACAACGAGATCCTCATCATCCGGCACCCCCAAGAATACCACACTTGCGTGGGTGGCGAATGCATCACCTTCCAAGCCTCCAGTCTTGCAAGCAGGACTACCGTCCGCTGGGAAGCTGTTTGCATGACTTGGGATTCGGCTACCGGGATCATCCAGTTGTGGTTGGACGGGCATCGTTTGCCAAGGAAAGGGGCAGCGAAGGGCTATCAGGTCAAGAGGGATATGGTGGTGATCCTGGGGCAGGAACAAGATTCCTACGGGGGCTCCTTTGAAGTGGGGCAGTCCTTTGTGGGAGAAATGGCTGAAGTCTACCTGTGGGACACCGTCTTATCTGCGGAACAGATAAGCGGTGCCCACAATCGTATGACATCGACCCCTTTAGTGGGCTGGAACTCACTAAACTTTGAAATCAAAGGCTACGTGCTGATAGAGCCATTGTGAAGCCTTCCGTCAAAGATGGGAAGGAGAAACTGCCTCAAGAAGTCCTCACCGCAGGCCTGAACCTCTTTGTCTCTCTTAACAAAGAGAGTTTTGATTGTGTTTTGATTGTATTTTCATTCATATTTATTTTTGTGTTTACTGTAAACCCCCCAGAGTCACTTCCTAGTGAGATGGGCGGTGACCAAATTTGAAATATAAATAAATAAATATTTAAAAAACCAAAGCTTTGCAGGATCCAAGGGGGTCTATCTAAGTAGCCCTATCTATTTGAACCTACCACTTGCCAAACAGGGTGTGTGATTGGCCATGCTTGCTTTCATTCCTGGTGCTTTTATTTTTTTAGTTGGGATTTAAACCACCAGCCATTTAAGCCAGTCGTTTTCAAAGGTGTGGTCTTGGGTCCCCGGGGGTCCCCCAAGATCCTTTTAGGGGGGCCGTGAGGTCACACCAATAAATATTTTAAAATCTCTTTTAATTTCTAATACGGCAAATATCGATAGATATAACCCACCCCAAGAAAAACTCTATGGGGTCCTCAATCGTTTTTACAAACATAAAGGGGTCCTCAGACCAAACACTTTAAGAAGCACTGACTTAAAGCATCAACATAGTAAGGAACAAAACCAGATTAAAGTATATAACAGCAAACATGGCAGGGGAAAAGAGATGGTTTGAAGTGTTCAAGCACTTATGTGCAAGAATGCATACTTTTTTTTTTTTTCCTATTAAAAACAAGTTAATCCTCATCATCATTGTAGTG